GTTGATGGCTGCATTTTCTTCTCTTTCTTGGCGCCGCGAGAACGATTCCTTTTTCGTACCAACGAAGCCCCGGGACGCGTTTAATCGCAGCCCGCAACGCGATACGGTATTTATTGAGCTGAAGTATCGTATTCGAGCTGTAACGTTTCTATAAAAATTTGTATTTTTCGAGGTATTTTAGGTAGCCAGGCACGAAGATGATAATTATTTTACATGGGAATGCACGGTTTTGAAAACTCGGCCGAATGAACTGTAGTGGTCTGGCTGTGAAAGTTTTATGTGAAAATGATAGTCATTTGTGGTAGTCGAAGTAAATGCTTTGGAAATAACCGACTTCCCCTGAAGTATAGGTTAGGTTCGAACTAGATACATCCCTGAACAGCTGTTATCACCTTATAAAATTAACACTGGCAACAGAATTGTGTACTACCTGGTTTTTTCCAATTAAAAGATGTAAGATCGAATTTTCAGCAGCGTTTGTTCGTGAAAAATTTATTTGTGTTTTCACCATCTAGGATTACCACGAGAATAGATATTCAAAATTCCCAGCCTTGAAACTATACTCTATCCATTCGTTGCAATAAAAAATACTCTTTATAAAATAATGGAATAGTCGAAAGAATCCAAAACAGTTCTGCTAATCTTAAAAATCAGTGAAGGAATCAAACAGGTATATCCCTGCTACTACCATTATCGACTAATTCCCAGTAAAGACACCCTAATCCGCCAAGCAGCACTAGGCCACTTTAGTTGCCAACCTAAAATTATGGCCGCCGAGTATCTCGCCAACGCAGGACAGAGAACCAACAACCACAGAGATACCGAGTAACTCAGTAATCGCTAGACGAGCTTTAATTTCCCAATGGCAGCAGAAGAAACCCATTCCCATTCTTCCCCTAGGCAACCTAGATCCTCGCCAAGATCTTCGCTTTAACCCCTTGCCGTATTTCTTTCCCAACTCTAATCAATACGACTACTTGAATCCGAATGAATTCAGTAGCATTTACGTTCGTCAACACTAATTTGACATATACTGAATTTTGCAAACATTATTTGGTAAACGTTTACGTCGATTTCAGATTGATAGTACACAAATATGTATTCAAACCGTCTGAAAGTTCCAAATGCCAAGGTGTAACTAAACGAACATCAATTCTAGGAACAATAGAACAAGCTGCAACAAATGCCCGTAAACCTAGTGTCAAATCACGTGGAAAATCTTAAGTTAAAGTCAATGAAATCTAAATACTCTAAACACCCGAACCACGTCAGCCCCAAGTCTCGAAAAGATTCCGTCCAAATTGAAGGTAGCTAAGCCAAGTACCCTAAGTGCCCTCTTCCCCAGGTAGTCCACGGATTGTCTCAATCGCGCGAAGTCTCCCGGCAGGTTGACCGTAAAATTGGATCCCCGGCGGAGAGGAGCCGGGAGCCGGCGAATCGTTTAACACCCCGTACGCGGGGCGCGCACCGGGTGCGCGTGTGTCCCTGATCTCCAAAATTAGGGTCGAAAATCATGACACGTCCCCACCGGTTCTTTCTTCGACGTGGGGTTGTACGGCCTCGTTCCGACGCACAGGTGGTGCGTTTCCCCGTGGGAACCGGGCGAGCGGAGTCTTCCCGTGTTGGGAAGAGGCTAGGAGGGTCTGTCCTTTACTCGGTCCACCCCGCAGTGTCGGGCCAACGAAAAGCCCTGCAAGTGTGTCCTCTACCCACCCTGAATCGGGCCACTGTTCACGGGCTCGTTCGCCTTCGACTAAAAACTCCGGGCGACGGGGGAGGGGCTGGGGGGAGGATTCCTTTTCCTCGACACAGGGGATCGGTACGGTGGATGCGGGGGCATCGACGCGAGGGATCGAAAGGTGCGTGCGCTGGGGAAGTGTGCTGCTCGTGTGCTGCTCGTGTGCTGTCCTTGTGCCGTCCTTGTGCCGCTCTTGTGTACCCGCCAGCGGTTCCCTCGGATTGCTTAACGCCCGTTTGATCGGGCCCGTTGTTAACCTGAAGAGTCGGCTAACCCTCAGATACCGGCTCCGCTTATCTCTTCCGTGTCCTTCTGCGCGCGTTGCTGCATTTCTACGGTGGTACTTAAATAGTTCGCTGCTTTGCGTGGCATTCGTACCGCGGCTTTTACAGATTCGTTTGTATCTTCATTTGCGCGGCTCTGATTCCTTTATTTTGCGGTTCGTTATTGCGAATGGTTGTTACGGTTTTATGTCCGAGGGGAAGTATGTTGTAATTTGCGAAGGTTTTAGTTGTAGGTCAGGCCTTGCGATACCTGGCTGTTGCATGTTGGATTGTTTCTTTGTTTTAATTGGTTATTAGTGGAATATTATTTTTGCTTTTTTCGTTTCGTTACGTTGAGAAACTTTTCGTTTTATTTCTGAGTAGTTCTAACGTAAATGAAGGTTTGTATTTGATATAATTATTATGTAATACAGTCCAGTCTTGTGGTATAGGGCACTTACAATTGATACAATTTTACGAAATCTTTTTTTAATATTTTATATTCAACGAACCATGTTTAAAGTAATGATTGTAATTAACGTAACTTATTGAAAAATTACAAAAATCATTGCTATTAATTGAATATTCTTTTTATGTATATATCCCCATATATATATATCACCCATAGTTTTCACTAATTTTAATATTATATTAATTAGTTTGTGTATATGTGTTTGCATTGATTTTTTTCCATTCTTCTTGTAGCATGTTCTATAGTCGTAACTGTGATGTTGGACATATTTTAACTTTCCACTACCTACAAATGATTAGGAAATTCTAATTCTTAAAATCAAAATGATACTACTTTTTTCAACGATGAATTCCTTATTTTCTCAAATAAACATGTAATTCTTTGTTTCGCTTTCGTTTTTCATTAAAATATACCTTAAGTGCATTTATCCTGCGTTTGACCAGTACACACATCATTTTAAAGCTCGAAATGACACTAACTCTTTCAACGGTGAATTCCTTATTTTTTCAAATAAACATGTAATTCTTCACACGCGAACATTACCAGAGAATTCTCAAATTAAATTAACAGTTAACAGATGAAACACCTATACTAATTTAATCTTCAGAAATCAAACGAGCGTTCTATGACTTTCGGCCGAGAGTGTACACGTCGATAACACGCGAATTTCCGAGTCACCGTAAGCACGGCGGAGCGTGCGCTCGCGAGGATGAGTGAGCAATTACCAGGTGCGTATTGGAGTACTACAAATTGCGTACCCGTTATGCAGAAGCTATCAGCGCGACAACAGACCTCCCCCTTCTCGAGGGAGGCACCTAACAAAATGTAAATCGTTTTCAGAAACCCTGTAATTCGTGTCCACCCGGCGATTTTCCAGGTCGTATATACACGTCGCTCGCAGTGAAAGGGTTAACGGTCCCCGGGCTCCTTGTAATCGTTAAAAAGAATTCCCATTAACGTATCACTACTTTCCCGTCCGCGAAGACTTAATTTAGTCGGCGCAAGAATCTGGCCGAGTCTGTTATCTGAATCGGGCGTTCTCGCTTCCGAAAATAATGGGGGCCCGATAAAAGAAGGTGGGAGCGGGCCCTGTGCACACGGCCCAAAGGAACGCCGGGCATATTTATTGATCGTAACGTGAATTCCAAATACTTAGCGAGTTGCGGCTCGGTAGCGAGTGTGCACGGCTTATTTTGTCTCGGTGTTTCACTGCAATTTCGATATATGATTTATGACCCACGATCGAGGAAAAGGGAAACATCCCGTAATAAGAAGGTGCGCGGCTGTGCCTCGCCTGCCGGCTGGAAATATTCGGTTTCGGGTTGTATTTGCATACGTTGTGCATACAGTGCGATCTTCATTGTTCGAATTCGTTTCGATACCTGGTAATCGAATGATCGAGCGTCCGTTTCCGTTGAAATGATTTATTCTGAGATATCGGGGCTTAATGATAGTAATAATAATGATGATAATGAAATATTAAGAATGTGTTGTAATATTAAATGAATACTAACCTGACTAAAATGATCGAAACAAAGGTGGTTCGTTTGATAAATACCTACCGAAACATATATTGTGAACATCGATATTAAACGAGAATAAAATGTTTGAATAAGAAGTTAGCAATTTTGTGCCTGTATTCTTTTTTAATCCTCCTCCTATGTTTTAGAATTATTTCTCGAAATCTTTCCTTTCTTTCATCCTTTACATTTTCTTTCCTTTTGTTTTTTATAATCACTTTTATCTCCTTTATTTTTTTTCCACTTCCTTTTGCAGTCTATCATTATTACGGAATTAATTTGCTATCTTTAAATGTCATAATCTTTTTACTATATTTATTGAATTTTTTAATAAATACAATTTTCCGTAGTCCGAAATTTTGTACATTCAAAAACCAATTCAGTTACAGTTTCACTATATTTTAATTCATTATTCTATACATTCTCTTAGCAACAAAACATGCATTCATTTCGCTAACATTTCGATGTAAGCAGCGTAAAGTTGGTAATAGGACTTGATTGATAAATGTCATGCAGCATGTAACCAAGAATGCAGATACATAGAGAGCGAAAGCATAAACGAGATGCAATTTCTCTTCCTTATTTGTTAGAAAACATTGTATACTCGAACGTTTCGTTAACCGATATTTCGATAATCGGATTGGTTCGTTGATCGGTGTTCAAGATAATCACCGTTTTACCGTAAGTGTGAGCTGGCGCTCGCTCGAGCGAAGTTTCTCTTTAAACCGCAGGCTATGCTTGAACAGTTTTACTAAACGTTTAATTTTCATACAGCTATATACGTAATAATCGTGAAATTCTTCGATATACATATTTCCTTGTCAAATCAAAATTTACGCAACACTAGTGGAGGTACAACTAAAACTTTATACGAACTTGTAAATCAATTTACTAAATAATATTTTTGAAAGTGGCACCCAATTTATAATTATGCTCGTATGTAATTACTGCACAATTTCATTAAACTGCGAATATAAATATTTTTGGAAGTCGTGTATTTTTCTTACCTTGCTCCTTTATTTTTCTTATCTGCGTGTTTCTTTGCTTATTGTTAGTTGCATCCGAACTACTCGCTCAATGTCTAGTATGTTCTTGCTTCCAATCTTTGGTTCGGAACTAATTCCTGTAAAATTGTAACGAAATAATTTGTTTAGTAAGAAAATTCAAAATTCAAATGAAATAATCTATCTGTTAACTCTTAAATGTAAATGGAAACTATGAATTCAAATTATTCGGATATTCTAAAACAGAATTATTTAAACGATCTTTATTTGCTTCACTTATATTGTGTATTTTATATTTCTGGTAAAGTAAAAATATTAACAATGATTAACAATATGAAAATATTATATTTTAATCCTGTATTAGTTCTATTTTTCATATTGTTAAATTGCAGAAATTTGTTGTCACGTTCAGGTGCAGTAAACTTTACTTGTGTTCTAATTTTGAATCTTTCTTTCTAACATAAATATTTTGTATTTTGAATTCAACCTATGTTGCCAAATCACTAACGAAAGACATTTGTATGAAAATAATGTATTTATCAGTGCAACCAGTTAGATCATAAAATAAATTCAATGTCGTTATCTAACAGTACCTATTTTGAAAAGAATTTATTGACTACAGTATTACACCATATTCGTTGCTGTTCCATATAAAGGTTTTACTTGCACGTATGCGCGAGGTTTCTGGGTAGAGGCAAAAATAACCCAAAATAGCTCGCAACTTTCGTATGTTATTATGTAGTAATAAGTAACTATTACGCCGTCATTAACTTTCTTTAAAGTTTCAGGTGAATACTTCAACTGCCTTGTAGGTATACCACAGCAGAGTACGAACTACCGTGAAAATTAAAAATAGGAACAAACGTTCAATTTTGTGAATGCAACTGAATGCTTATTGCAACGTTCAACACTTTGTTGCATAAAATATCGTTAAATGTTTGATTAAAAATTAACTTTTAACGATTTTCGATATACTGATAAGAAAAGCCAGGTTCAGTAATGTAAATCTTTTTTCTTATACTCATAAAAGTAAAATAATGAAGCATTTAATTAGAGGTGTGCAATAAATTAAGAAGCGTTTTATGATTTAATTATCGTTTCCAGAAATTGCAAGTCAAATGTGGTCCAACCATTTAATGGCACAATAAAGGATTAAACGAATAAAAAGAAGATATTTATTTAAGCAGTTACAAACAGTTATAAAATTATTACGTTAAATTAAATATGAATATTGTCTGCTTTCGATGTACATAACTTTTAAATATCGAATAGCTAACTAACAAATAAAGAAAGAAAGAAAAACGGAACGAAAAAGATAACAAATCGCTTTTTACAGTTACAGTAAAGTGAATTATACATTTCACGTCATATTATTGTCAACCAGCCGACATGTTCATTACGGATCATATATTCGTAAGAAAAATCTGTTCCCACGAATAAAGTAAAAATCATATGAATAATAATGATCTATAAATATACACAAACTTTTGCAACAACTTCCTGATATGTATAATACAAAAACCGTTTTTATATTCAGTAATGGACGATTAATTATTCGAAGTGCACCGTAATGGAGCGTGATGGCGGTTCAAGCACGTATAACACTTGCTTCTGGTATGATGGTCCGATAAAATCTGTGGAAACTTAATATGCGCGCTTCGTGATAGCTTCAATATATATGTGATATTACAATGTAAAACGGTACATTGAATGCGAGACATTTTGGGATTTATGTAAAACGTTTATTATGCATAAGTGAACCTCGAGGACCGCGCTTCTTTCGATAAACATAAACTTTCAAAACAATTTTATTTCAAACCAATCTACTGGGCTTTGACTTTCTACTTGTAATCATCGCAAAAATTGCATGACAGGTGCAACATAAACAACGCAAACTTGTTTCATTTTAAAAAATGATTTTACCTCAAAGCCGCATGAAAAATAACTTTCAAGAACGAGATATTTTCATAATAAACTGTCGCAGAATACCGCATATAATATTTATTCCAGATCATATTCATTACATTTACCGTTGTTCACAATTGGTTACTCGACTAAATTGTTTCGATGACTAATGGTAAATTCAAATTTGCTTGATTGAACATTTTTTTTTTATACTTCAAAGCACCGGGCATGTAGGTTGATACAATTTTTACCAATGATTTAGATTCGATGAGAATCACTTTAAGAATTATATGTATCACCTATTTTTGATTATTTGAAATCTTATAATTATATTACGCATAAGAGTGATTGTTGCTAAAATGCTTTGAAACAAATTAACAAAGCGCTAACACGTAGACTAGTAACAATTTTCTTACAGCACTTTCTGTAAGAAAATTTTTCAAATTCTTTTCAAATTCGAAAAGTTTCTAGATAAAATGATACCGTGACTAACTCAAAAAAGACTAAACAAACGCAGTGTTGCCGAGAAAAAGGCAACGTGATCGGGTTCAAAAAGACCGAAAGAACACAGAAGAATTAAGTAACGTCGATACAGATTCAAAAATGAAAAACCAAGAACTTCGGTGCGCGAAGGGCCAAGAACAAAACGAGTAAAAGAGAAAGCGAACAGGAAAAAGAGCACAGATTAGTTCCTCTTTCTAAGTTGGACCGACAAAGAGAAAGAAATAAAAATGAACATATCAAAGAAAAGTTATCGGCGCAGATATCAAAGCAACCGCACGGAGAAGTCGAGCTCGACGAGTAATCCTATCACGATGTCGAGTCACCGTTCATCGACTCGGTTCGAGGATTTCGTCTGAACGCGAGGGACCACTTTAAAGCATCCTACACACGTTGAAACATGTTGCGATGCATGCACAGAAATTAAAAAGGTTCTGAAAATTACTGTTTGAAACTGTTACATATCGGTTCTGCATGAAACGGTTGTACAAAACCGAAATAAAGTCGTAACTGTTATTACATAGGTATATTGGTTTCAGTTCTTTGGAATCAATATTACATCGGTTCTAGAAATGTCATTTTTCGGTTCTGCATTTTGGTTCTGTACTTCGGTTCTCCATTTGATGTAACGTTTGTTCTGAAGAATCGAAAGCGAAACCGAAATCGGCATAGCTTAGAACTGATATATATAGTTTTGTATAGTTTTATACAGTTTTATGTAGTTTTATATAGTTTCCATTGCTTTATGTAGTTTCATGTGGTTTTATATTGTTTTATATTCTATTTCATCTTTTCACATTGCTTTATGCAGTTTTATATAGTTTAGTATTGTTTTGTATAGTTTTATATAGTGTCATACAGTTTTATATAGTTTTATAGAGTTTTGTATTGTTTTGTATAGTTTTATATAGTTTTACATATGTATAATCAGTTATGGCTTCATTTTGGTTCTCTATAACCAGGGATTGAAAAGCTTTTGAAAATAAGTATTTAAAACTGTAATATGTATATCGTGTTCTAATTTACGCGTAAAAAAGAGACGCATAAAAATGCGTCGCGTAAATTGTTGACCGAGTGCACCTACTCCGCGTTCACGAGAAGAGTCCTAAAACAGATACGAGTCTCATTGGTCAGCTTCCATCCTCCTCATTTCCGATACTAATTCGCTATTGGTCGATACGTCACACTCGATCAACCAAAACCACAAACAAAATCCCTGAAGGATGTTTACCCGTGTACCGTCTCGGGGCTCTTCTCGTGAACAACGCGGAGTACTTCGGCCCGCAAAGGGTGAACGTGTGCAGGGGGCTTAAAGGATTAGAATCGGGACTGGGTCGGATCAAAAGAGCCCGATGACGCCCAGGCGCAGGCTGGGCCGCGCGTGGATTCCGTGCGTGCGCGCACGCATCGCGGGGGAATCCGGTTGGTCACGCATCCTGTCCGCCGCCCGGCGATTTCCTTTTGTCAGGCAAATTGACGATGCGAGCCGCGACACGTCCTCCAACGACCTCGAGAAAACAACACATGCCTTCACACCGCGGGTTCCCATAGAACCCCGCCGGTGGTATTGTCCACGTTCCAGCAGCTCGTGCCTCGCCTTTCCTTTCGCCTCTCGACCCTCCGCTCGATCCCCGTGACCGTTCTCTTCCGCTTTCGCCGTGGCTCGCCGTGTCCCGGTCGTCCTTTTCTTATCGTCGTTACGCGGTCACTTTTCTTCTTTGTCTTCTGCTTCTTCTCCTTCGTTCTCTTGTTGTTGTGCTTCTTCTTCGTCATCGTTTTCTTCTTCACGTTCGTCGGAAACAGTGGTTTTTGACGCTTTATCTACCGAGCGGATGTTAATTCTTTGCGTACGATGATTCCTTGACACGGGAATTTCTAGCGTTTTGTGTGATAATACTTATTGTAATAATAAAAGCAAATGTTAGTGAAAGTAATTAGTAATGATTTAGTATCACAGTAGTTATATCGCACTATTATGTGGCTTATATTACTAAATATATTTATTAAACTCAATTTTGTTGCTGTAATTGTGCGTCGGAGACAGTGGTTTTTAACGCTTTATCTACCGAGCGGATGTTAATTCTTTGACGCGTTGACTGCCACGAGAATTTCTAGCGTTTTGTGTGATAATACTTATTGTTTAATAATAAAAGCAAATGAAAATAATTATTAATGATTTAGTATCACAGTAGTTATATCGCACCATTAGCGGCTTATATTACTAAATATATTTATTAAACTCAACTTTGTTACTGTAATTGTTCTTCGGAAATTTGGAAACCCCATGGCCACCATGGTAGACGTGTGACAATATACGAAACTTGCAGCATATGAAGCTACAGTGAGTTGCATTAATGTTAGACACTATGGTACTTGAGAAATTTTTGCTATGTATCTTTGGTGTTTGTGGAATCGATGAATTCGTTGTTTTCTAATAAGACGACTTATTAGAAGACTTATTAAAAAACAACGGATTTATTAATTCCACAAACAGCAAGGATATGCAAAAATTTACTCGTTGAAAAAGTAATATAATAATATACATATAATTTCATTTTTATCTACAAATCCTTAACTTATATTTCTTGATTCCAATATGAGTCGAGACTAATAATTTTAAAATAATTTATATCTCAGTATAATTAAATAACTTCGTAGTTCACTAAAAGTCTTTCTTCGAATTCCAACACCTTCGTTTCATATTATACACTAA